TTCGGTATTTTAGTATTTATTCCAATGTAATCCCATCTATCGTTAATACCGTCAATCGCAAGATCCAGAGGAACGTTCGTAAACAAAGACACCACATCCAAGGAAAACATCCTATCATTCTCATCAATCTTTTTACCAGACAATATGCTGTACAAATCAAAACTATTATTAATATGACTTTTCGCTTTGGGTAGGCTAGTTCGTAAGGTGTTTTGTAAAAACGAAGCCAGCGAGTATAGAGCTGTATCAACCGATGAAACTATGATTCTAACTGGATAGTTTTCCTTATGGATTTTAGGTAATCCATACGCTTTTGGAAGGAGAGAATCACTACAACGTAATTTATAATATTCGTTTTTTGAAATATAATCTTCCTTAAGCCATCTCTTCAACAAATCATTCAAATCGTTCTCTATTTTTTTGCACGGATTTTTTTTAACAATAGTGTAAGTGTTGACATCTTTTAAAACGTTTTCCATTTTGTTAATATAATGAGATCTTTCCATTGCCACCGTAGCATTACCCTTGTCCGCGCGTGTGAATAGAACATTCGGATTGTCTTTACAAAATTTTATTAAATCTCTGTGTGCACCAAGTAATTTTTGTTGACTTACGTCATTTTTATCCTTCGTGTTCAGAAGTTGTGCAAATTTTGGAACCGCGATATTTCTGATCGTTGTGAGATTATTAATATTATTTCGTTTGCTATTACTCTCTATGTCCTTGATGAATTCATGTATCGCTGTTTTTTTACTAATATTCGGAAGACAGAATTTATCACCCATTTGCAACAGATTAGAAACGTTAGGCGGAATGTCTGTGTTGGAAAGATTAACAAACCATTTTTTATTAGTATTTTCCAAAGGGTTAATTGTATCATTGAGAAATTTATTGGCTTCTATGTGTATATTGATCTCCTTGGCATCATTAGTGATTGCCCTGAGAGAATTTTGTGATATTTTCGTCGGTTGTGAAGTTTCAAAATGTAAAGAACAATGTATATCTATAGGTTTGATGCTGTTGATATACTTATAGTGTTGTTTTCTCTTAAGCCAATTGAATTTCTTTTCGTGTGCAGTAACCAATCTGTTGTGGCAATTTTTAAAAGCAATGTTATGATGTTCGAAAATTCTATTCCACGCGAGTACAGGTAAACGATTAAATAACCCGCTGGTGAGATGAAAAATCCTATTTTGTAATGACTCTACCTGTCTATGCAAATCAAAGATTTCAATGCTCATCGCATTTGTTTTGAATTTGTACAACATACTATCTAGTCTTCTGATCGATCTGTGATGAAAAACGTTAAATTTAATGCGGCAAAAACCTTCTAAATGTGTAGGAAAAATATCGCCATTTTTACAATTTCTTAAAAATTCCAATTTTGCTCTCGCTCTTATTAACAAGTAATTCGCATTAATCCATTGTTTAAAATAATCTGCGGTTATTCTTCCAAAAACTCTATGAATAAAATTAAAATTAAAATAGTAATCAGTCCGTTTTGTGTTAAATTGACGCATTGTAAGGCCAGCGTATATTAAAAATAAATTAATACAATTGTCGCTCGTATATTGAAAACAAAGTGATAAATATAAGGCCAACTTATCGAGCTGAATATTCGAGATGTTCAGTCAACTACCATTTATTACATGTATAAATTATAAAACTACAGTCATTATATTAAAACTAACGCAAATTACAATCATTCTATAAACGTTTCGACCGCACGCGGTCTTCTTCAGTATAATTATTGAAATATAAATTCTTACAATTCACATAATATCGAAATTTAATTATAGTTATTCAGAATCAAGAGTTTTTGAGCAATTAACGCGTGTTTCAATCCGTCCGTGTATCATGGTGTACTTTATTTGCGCGCCACCCGTTACATATTTTGCGAAAGATAATTATCTTGTCAAGGACATTGAAGCCTCAGCAAGAAAAAATCGATATTTTTATCTTACGAGATAAGACGAGCCGCAGCGGCGGCAGCGAGAGAAAATCGATAATTTTATCTTACGAGGCGCACGCGACATTAAGAGACAGAGAGAAAGAAGACGCATGCAATCGAGAGAGACGGCGAACTAATACGCAGCGCGCGAGAGTGAAAGACGCAGCGTGAGAGAGAGATTCGGCGGCTCGCGACAAGAGAGATTCGGTGGCTCGCGGCGAGAGAGATTCGGCGGCTCGGGGTGAGAGAGATTCGGCGGCTCGCGGCGAGAGAGATTCGGTGGCAGCGAGAGAGATTCGGTGGCAGCGAGAGAGAGATTCGGCGGCTCGCGGCGAGAGAGATTCGGCGGCTCGCGGCGAGAGAGATTCGGCGGCTCGCGGCGAACGAGAGAGAGAGAGAGAGAGAGAGAGAGAGAGATGTAAAGGAGAAAAGAAGCGAAAAAATTTTTTTAAATTAATAAATATTTTTATTTAATAAATATATATTTTATTCATAATTTTTATACTTATTTTTTGTACATTACCGCTTATTTTTTTTTATATATTACCGCTAATTTTTTCTATACATTACCGCTTATTTTTCTATAAGGATATCAAAAAAGGGAAACATTTTTCTTAAATTAATAAATATTTTTTATTATAAATATATATATTTTATTCATAATTTTTACATTACCGCCGGCATTGGCGTTACCCAAGGTGTACCACGTAGAGGTTGCCGGTCGGATTTACACCTCATGTGTATGTGTATGTGCGTGTGTACTTGTACATGTGTTACAGTAGAGATAAGGACCCCACGGTTCGTCACTTCCGCGGTATTTACTGACTCCAAACCCTCTCTACTGTGAGTGTAAATATAAAAAATAAAAAATAATATATGTAAAAAAAATATATAAAAAAATATTTAAAAAAATACAAAATATAAAAATAAAAAAATATAGAATGTTTGAGAATTTAGGAACGATCTCGAAGGTCAGAACATATTTTTGTTTTCGCACCGAATAAGACGGACTCAAGTTCCGTCCTGCGTGTCACCTTATTTTTAAATCGGGAGTATCGATTGGCGATACGACCGCGAATAGCGATTCGACACGCGCGTGTCACGCGCCAATTTTCAAAGGAAGCGTGATCCCACGACCGTGATCGTCGCGAGACCTCCTATGCGGGCAGTGAGCCCGGAGAGCCCGCCGAGATAAATCGTGCGAGTGAAACTTAAAATAAAGAACCCAAGTATACATCGGACTTCTCAGTCTCAAATTAATCATCCTGTTTCTAAGTCTCCTTTCCCAACGAATCGACTGTTAACAAATAAATATCTTTCGTTCGGTCGCGAGAAAGAAAATTACGAAGGCTCGCGTACAGAATTGAATGGTCCTTCGAGCCGGATATTTCGCGAGATTGTGAGAAAAAAACAGGTTCGAGTTCGAAATCTCTCGGATTCACTCTCTGGGTTTTCTCGCTCTCCGCTTGAGTTTCTAGTGGAGTGTTGCTCTCCCGTAGTGGGTGAGGAAAACGTGCATTGTGTTTCGCGAGACAAACTAGTCTTCCGCGAAAACTGCCGTCGACGCAGGAATATAGCGTCACGGAGTTATTTCGTTTAATAGAGACATCCACGTACCGATAAGTGATCGTTCGTGGAAGGGCTGCAGCCAGGCGAAGCCGCCAAGCCCCCAGGCATCCACGCGTGTTCTCACCTAATATAATTCGCGAAGCAACAAGAGATCGTCGCGAGTTACGTTTCGTCGAACAGTAATCACGTGTCGCGATTGGAAACGCGATTTAAAGGAGAAGTTCGCGCTTCGATAAGTGATCGTTCGCGAAAGAGTTGTCGCCAGGCGAAGCCGCTGAGCTCCCCGACCTACCCCGTGAGTTCTCCATCTAGTCGTCGTGCTTCGACAGGGTCGATCACGATCTGCTGGCCGTCGGCGCCGCTCTCACGCGCCCGGCATATATTGTGCGGTTCATTCCGAGACAATTTCTATCACGCTTCGGCAGGCAGCCGTCCGCGAGAAAACTACCGTCGGCAAAATTGTCATGCTGCAGTACATTGTGTAATCTCGGTGAAAATTTTCGTGTGTTTCGAAATACAGTCACTCACGACATCTTGACCTCCGGCGAGGTAATCAAACGCCTGGTCTCTCGTGTATTACGCGATTAATTCGTACGTCGCGCTCCGTCGGTCCGACGGAGCCGTGGTTACGCGCCCGGTACTCCAGTGAATGGGAATTAGCATTGTCTCGGCTATTCTACACAAATAATGGTGCTCGTGTAAACTTCCGACGGCGAAGCAGGTTGGCGTTTCGTTCGTTCTGTGGCGAATATTGTCACAAGCTAAATAAAGTTCGTCTCTTCGCATAAATTGCGAGTGTCCGAGTCAGTTGAAGAAAAAAAACCCGCACTGTGATCATGAGTGAATTGAGAAATTTACTCATCGCGCAAACGGAGAATATCGACTCGTTGAAAAGAGTCCTCGTCAATTTTAAGAAATTGGCAAAAGTCAATGTGACATTGGCTAAGACGCAGGGGCGCCTCGCTACCTTGGAGATGATTTGGGCCTCCTGCCGAGAGCATCAAGTCCAGCTGCTGCAGACTGCGACATCGGATGAACTGAAGACACTACCTTACTTCCAGAACGGGGAGTTTATAGTCGCCGAGGACCACTACAACGACACGGCAGACCTTCTTAGAGAAACGATAAGTAGATTTACTACAAATCAGCCTTCTTCGTTCGATCGTAGTACCGACTCCTCCGTACGCGAGAGTTACCATAACAATTTTCAGTTGCCGCGGATTTCCCTGCCAAAATTTTCGGGCAACTTTTCGGAATGGGAAAGTTTCAAAAACACGTTCGACAATCTCTAGTCGCGAATAATGATTCTCTTACAAATACCCAAAAGTTTCATTATCTTAAGACAAGCGTCATCGGGGACGCCGCTTTAATAATAAGTAACTTGAAAATTTCCGACGCAAATTACGAGTCCGCTTGGCAACTGATCATTGATGAGTATGACGATAAATTGACTCTTATCCATACTCACATTCACGCCTTCATGTATCTGCCGACAATGAAATCCGAAAACGTCGCGGAACTACGAACATTGCGAGACACAGTGTCTGCGTCGCTTGCGGCACTGACCAATTTAAATCGGCCGGTGAGCGAGTGGGATGATATTCTCATATATATCATATCACAAAAATTCAGTGCGAGAACGAAGAGCAAATGGAACCTGAAAGTTTCATCGAGTCGAGATCTTCCGGCGTACAAAGATATCCACGAGTTCCTCACACTCCGCATACGTGGTCTGTCTGACTTCTCCGATTATTCAAAGACTATAAGTTCTAAGAATGACAAACAGCGTTCTTCAGTTCATAACGTTACCGTCGTTAAATGCATTTGTTGTTCGGGCAATCATGCTATCACGAGGTGTGAGGAATTTCGTAGGAAAGACGTACCGCAGAGAAGTATCATTGCGCGACAAAATAAAGTTTGTTTTAATTGTCTGCGAGCGGGACATTTCACGAGACAGTGTCCGAGTAAAATTCGATGCGCTCACTGCAAACGTTCTCACAACACGCTGTTGCATCAAGAGAATGTTCAAACGTCAAATGTCGGTGAAAATTCCGATTCATCTAAATCAAAAGCTAACGCGACTCCCTGTGCGAACAAGATTAGTGTCGTTGGCGGCGCTGCCGTCGCCAGCGTGCAATCGGTTAGGCCTCCGAATAACGCGACGCCCGCGGTCCTCCTAGCGACCGCGTGGGTTAACGTCCATACGTCCGAAGGCAGATGCTTCAAGGTTCGAGCTTTGTTAGATCAAGGATCTAATTTTAGTTTTATCTCCGAGACGTTATGTCAAACGATTCGCACTAGACGACAGAGGACCGATTTACAAATCAAGGGCTTCGGCGAAAAATATACCGGCTCGGCGCGATCGCGAGTTTCGTTGAAATTGACGCCGTGCGATAAGTCGAACCCGGTCTTACCCGTTACCGCTTACGTTTTCCACCGCATTACGTCATACGCCGCAACGCGTATTCAGCCGGTCAATTCGTGGCCTCACCTGCAAGGCCTTTTGTTAGCGGATCCGGATCCGTCAAGCAGACACCAGATCCATATGTTAATCCGCGCGGACGTGTACGGTTTGTTACTGATGCGTGACCTGAGAAAGGGTCCGCCCGGAACTCCCACTGCTCAATTGACCGCGTTCGGCTGGGTGATTTCCGGACCGACCGGATCAAAAGAATCAGCCCTCAGTGAGGCTGCTTTTCTGAATTGCGTTCTCGCTGAACAGGTGGACTCTCTCCTCCAGAGATTTTGGGAGGATGAAGAGATCTCTGCGCCGGCCTCCCCCACGAATGAGGAGGAGCAATGCGAATCTCACTTCATTGAAACACACAGCCGGGATTCTGATGGCCGCTACGTAGTGAGATTGCCTTTGAAGAGAGATCCGCCGTTTGATATCGGGGAATCTCTATCCATCGCGAGAGCGTTGTATCGTCGCATGGAGAATCGACTAGACAAAGATTCCGATCTCAGTTCGCAATACCGCGACTTCTTGTCAGAATACGAATCACTCGGCCATATGACGCGCGTGGACGAGGCTGAAATTACGGAGACCTTGCCAGTCTACATTCCCCATCATCCGGTGATGCGGGAAGAGAGCTGCACCACGAAGCTTCGCATTGTCTTTAACGCGTCTTGTAAGACTCGAAATGGGACGTCTCTCAACGACCATTTACTTGTCGGGCCGAAACTACAACAGGACCTTCCTGCTGTATTAACGCGTTGGCGTAAATGGCGCCTAGTCTATACGGCAGACATCGCAAAAATGTTTTGCCAGATACGCGTGCATTCGAAGGACGTCGACTTTCAAAGGATACTTTGGCGCCCTGCGGATGACGCGCCAATTACCCACTTTCGACTGCTCACCGTTACATACGGTTTAGCTTCAGCACCGTATCTGTCGATGCGAGTGCTTCGACAATTAGCTCTTGACGAGGGTGCTGACTTTCCTGCTGCGGTTCCTATCATTAATGATTCAATCTATGTGGATGACGCGTTGTTCGGTGCCGACAACTTTGATTTCGTTACTCGATATGCGCACTCAACTCGTAGAACTTATGAAACGCGGAGGTTTTTTGCTACAAAATGGGCTTCCAATTGTGACGAACTTCTTAATAACGTTACAAACGATCAGTCGGAAGTTACTGATCACCTTGTACTGAAAGACGAATTGTTAAGGATTCTCGGTTTATCGTGGCTTCCGTCGGAAGACTCATTTCAATTCACAGTGAAGTTTGATCTTCCGATCGTGTTGACAAAACGTTCTATACTATCGTGCATTGCTAAACTATACGACCCTCTCGGATGGGCTGCCCCGGTTGTGATAACTGCCAAGATAATTCTGCAAGAATTGTGGCTACTACGTTACGATTGGGACACCCCACTTCCAAACGAGTTGAGTCAACGATGGACTGCTTTCGCCTCCGACCTTTCACGTTTGGAGTCGATACGTATTCCTCGATGGACCGGTCAAAGCCCGGATAATCTTACGTTAGAACTTCACGGATTCGCGGACGCCTCGAATCGCGCTTATGCCGCCGTTGTGTATATGCGCGTGTTTTATTCCCTTTCAGAGTATCGAATAAATTTGATCGCCGCAAAGTCAAAGGTCGCTCCAGTTAAGACACTTAGCATTCCTCGACTCGAACTCAATGCGGTAGTTTTATTAAGTCGATTAGTGAAGTGGTTGATAAATTCATTAAACTTATCAAATACTTCGATTCATTGTTGGACGGACTCCACTATTACGCTGGCGTGGCTGCGTCAACACCCATCGAAATGGACCACGTACGTGGCCAACAGGGTATCGGAAGTACAGTGCAACCTGCCATCTGCTAAGTGGAGTCACGTGCCGTCCAAAGAAAATCCCGCGGACTGCGCGTCCAGAGGATTCAATGCGTCCGACATAGTTGAGCATTCGTTATGGTGGGCGGGCCCGCCTTGGCTTCAACAGCCTTCTACCTCTTGGCCTCCACATAACGTCGCTACTTCACTTTCAGAAGAGCTAGTGAAACAAGTACATGCCGAAAGTCGAAAATCCGCGTTTCTGCATGTAGAGGGCGCTCCGGAATGGGACCTTCCCTATCAATTCGGCTGTTGGACTAGACTTGTCCGAGTGACAGCTTACATCTACCGATTTTTCCTTCGTTCTCGTAAGAAAACGAATCGTGAAAATACCACTGGATTGTATCTTGGAGTAGACGAGCTCCGTCGAGCAGAGACTTTCTGGCTCGCTTATGCGCAGAAAAGATCGTTCGAACTCGAGTTCAAGACCTTACGGAAAGACGAAACGCTCCCTCACAAAAGCTCGTTGAAATCGCTAAATCCTTTCGTCGGAAAGGATTCTTTACTTCGTCTCGGCGGGCGGTTACGAAATTCCGCTCTCTCCTACGAGGAACGACATCCGATTATCATTCCCCGGGGCAGAATAGCCGAGCTGTTAATCGATTATGCGCATCGGATCTCGCTCCACGGAGGAGTTCAACTTGTCCTCCGAACGCTCCGTCAAACCTATTGGCTACTCGGCGGTCGAAGTACGGTAAAATTTCGCATTCGGCAGTGCATAGTTTGCGCTCGTTACGCGAAGAGACAATCCAGCCAACTCATGGGAGATCTCCCTTCTCCCCGAGTTAATCCATCGTCCCCGTTTACTCATACGGGAGTAGATTACGCTGGTCCATTTTTCCTTACCCCGTTCGTCAGTCGCGGACAGAAGACTCGAAAACATTACATTGCCTTGTTCATCTGTCTCGCGACAAAAGCTATTCATATCGAATTAGTCGAAGACTATTCCGCGGCGGGTTTTTTGGCGGCCTTTAGGAGATTCGCGAGTCGAAGAGACTTGCTTCAAAAACTGTATAGCGATAACGGAACAAATTTCCACGGAGCGGACCGGGAGCTAAAGAGCACGTTTGACGCAGTACGTTCCGATCCCTCATTGCGAGACATCCTCGCTAACGATAGAGTGGAGTGGCACTTCATTCCGTCCGCATCTCCTCACTTCGGAGGATTGTGGGAGGCCGGCGTAAAGAGCTTCAAGACTCACTTGAAAAGGACAGTGGGTTCGCATACCTTGTCTCAAACCGAATTTTCAACACTGCTTTGCCGAATTGAGGCGTGTCTCAATTCGCGCCCCATTGCAACCTTAAGTCACGATCCAAGCGATTTGCTAGCGCTTACTCCTGGTCATTTTCTTATAGGTCGACCGATGACCGCCGTACCGGAGGAGTCGGTACTTGCGATAAACGAAAACCGATTGTCTTGATGGCAACTCGTCAACGCGATGAGCGAACGAGTGTGGCGTGCATGGTCGCTTGATTATTTGCATTCGTTGCAACAACGAGGTAAATGGACGAATAAGTCTTCAGACTTTCGCGTCGGAGAACTTGTATTACTGAAAAATTCCCTGCTCCCTCCGAGCAAGTGGGAACTCGCTCGAGTCGCGCTGATCCATCCGGGATCCGACGGACTCGTTCGAGTCGTGACAGTTCGCACCGCACATTCCTCTTTCAAGCGACCAATCACGCAACTATGCCGTCTTCCAGTTAATTGTGAAAATAATGATAAAACCATTGTTCAATTAACAAATTGTAATTAGATTAAGTTTAAAGTTAAGAAATTCTTATACTCTTCGAATGACTCATGTTACTCGAAGTTCACATTATTCGAAATTGTTTACGCTCTTAGCCTGTTATAACCTTGCTATTCGACCGAGATCAAAGCGAGCGTGCCTATTATTCAAGTATTAACTTCACTTTCGGGCATTCAAATTGTCACTCAGAGTTATAAATCTTGTCAACCTTACAAGACTGTTTTTTTTTCGATGTTTTTTGGTCGAGTATTTGCGCTTCCACAATCGTTAAGATGTTTTTTCGACTTTCGAGATTCGTTTCGGAATTCTATACTCTAGTAATTATTTTGAAAATTATAGTAGGTCATGCCACACCTCTTTCGCATCCGTTCGCCTGCGAGGCAGGCGGTATGTTTGAGAATTTAGGAACGATCTCGAAGGTCAGAACATATTTTTGTTTTCGCATCGAATAAGGCGGACTCAAGTTCCGTCCTGCGTGTCACCTTATTTTTAAAATCGGGAGTATCGATTGGCGATACGACCGCGAATAGCGATTCGACACGCGCGTGTCACGCGCCAGTTTCCAAAGGAAGCGTGATCCCACGACCGTGATTGTCGCGAGACCTCCTATGCGGGCAGTGAGCCCGGAGAGCCCGCCGAGATAAGTCGTGCGAGTGAAACTTAAAATAAAGAACCCAAGTATACATCGGACTTTTCAGTCTCAAATTAATCATCCTGTTTCTAAGTCTCCTTTCCCAACAAATCGGCTGTTAACAAATAAATATCTTTCGTTCGGTCGCGAGAAAGAAAATTACGAAGGCTCGCGTACATAGAATAAACCTTAATATATGTAGTTGTACGGTGACGGCGAGAGTGAGCGGAGAGAGCCGGCGAGAGAGAGCGGAGAGAGCCTTATCCATGCGGCGACTGCGAGAGAGGGGGTCGCGTCAACCATCGCTGTCATCAGACTGTGCCTTTGCACTTGCACATAGAAATATAATAAATTATTTTTACTTGAATTTTGACATATTATATATATATATATATATACTTACAGCCTTGACAGAAGACATATACATATCTAATCTCAGAAACGTTAATATACTCTTCGCATATGTTGTACACCTATTTAATCAAGCAAAATAAATAGGCTGCGACTAGTAATCTGACGATGATGGTGATTCCCTCATATCTGACTCCTCCATTTCTTGGTCCGAATCATATTCAGATGATTGCGATTTACATGACACCGATGGTGAAGGCATATCCAAGCTGCCAAAATAAAGGTTGTCCATAGTGAAATATTCGGCACAATTTTTGTAGCGACGCTGAAAACATGCGACTCGCTTGTGTTTAGACGATCTGGTGCATTTAGATAAACCACCAGTTACTCTTAAAATGTCTTTGTGAATTTCCAGGAAATCGGCAACATCTCTTGTATGCGGTTTTTGCACACCATGTTCGCGATTTCTTACGAATTGCACAACCGAAGTCACCGGATTGTTCTTCTCTTCACAAAACGGGTTATCTTTTTTTTCATCACGATAGCATTCCTCGAGATGCCTATATTATCTCTCAACATTCTCATAACACCTTGAATGATTTTTTACTGCGTTCTCCATTTTTTATTGTCTGACACTTTTTCACACTGTATACACTGTGTACACTTGTAACCTCAGCCTATTTTCGCTGACATTCGCTGCAATCCCTGATCATCGGTGCTGGACCGTCAATATGCGTTCGCATCCACGGTCGATTGTAATGTTCGAGGCAGCGACGATATGTCTGAACCTCCGGATCCGCCTTGATGTGCTCCGGAAGCTTGTCCCACAAATGCTCTACGAAATAGCCGCACTTTTGCAGTAAAACAATCTTCGGAATATATTGTAACGGTTCGGCACTTAAACTGAGAATATCGGAAGCACTTGATAGCATGACAAACATCATGCACCCCGAATGAAGAGAGCGTGCGCTCGCCAGTGGTACTATGGCCGGCAGCTGCATCGGTCCTCATTATATATCCCGATCATTCCTTTGTTCTTCAACGTGCGATGATGCAATTGTTAACCTACCCGCCGATAGAAATATTATCCGAGTCGGATCCAAACCTGGATTGACACGTCGGATCCAAGCCTGGATTCTGCGAAGACATGTCGGATCCAAGCCTGGATTCCGCGTTCGCCCCCCATACTTTCCCCGCTGATATTTCTTAGAAATGTACGTATCAACCCGCTTGATTGTCGGCGCTCGATCCAAGCCTGGATTTGGATTCTGCGGCAGCCCTTTTGTTCTTAATAATTCTTAGAATTTGATTACTCAGAATTTTTTACTTTATCTTATCTTCAGAGAAAATTTAGATGACGAAACGCAACTCCCTTAGTAATAGATAACTGAATGTCGGCGCTCGATCCAAACCTGGATTCTGAATCGGCGGCAGCCATTCGCAGAATTTTTACCTTATCATGGGTAATAGATATCGCTGTAACAGATATCGCTGGAATGTTTATCTTATCTTGTTTATGAAAACTTAGATATCCGCTTATCTTATCTTGTTTATGAAAACTTAGATATCGCTGGAATGTTTATCTTATCTTGTTTATAAAAACTTAGATATCGCTGGAATGTTTATCTTATTTTGTAATAGATATCGCTGGAATGTTTATCTTTTATTTATAAACATATCAGGTAACATGAGCCCTTTATCAGGTAATATGAGCCCCTTATTAGGTAACCTGAGCTGATAAGATAAGCTTATCTGCTGATAAGACCCCCTCCCCCGCGTGATGTCACCCCCCTCACCCCCGAAAACCCCTCCGCCCCTCACTCCCCTCATTGCCCAAGGTCTAGAACCAGCCTAGTATTACTACTTTCGTCTGCTAGTTGCTTTTAAAAATATCTTCTCCCAGAACGATTTGCATGTGCGTTCTGGTTATTAAAAAAGATATTTTATATCAGAGACAATATATTTGCCTGCTAATTGTTTCTAAAATATCTTTTCCCAGAACGATTTGCATGTGCGTTCTGGTTATTAAAAAAGATATTTTATATCAGAGACGATATATTCGTTTGCTAGTTGCTTCTAAAAATATCTTCTCCCAGAACAATTTGCATGTGCGTTCTGGTTATTAAAGTTAGTATCCAATCGTTAGTACCTACGATGCAATGCCTGGAGTCAAATTCAAATACAGGTACGTGTAGTAAAAATGTCAAACTTTGCGAAGATAACAATCATTTTGTTATCTGAAGAATAGCCCTCTAGATATAAATCGTATTCAGGAAAGCATGCGCTCAAGGGCGTCGCATTGTCGACTCTTCTCATATGTGAAATGAACTTCAGAGATCATTCAATAATCATATGCAAGAAATAGAGTGCCAATTTAAAAATTGGAAACTCATAAAAACTAAAACCGAAGACCAAGAGGAAAATGGCTCTAAGAATAGCACATATAAGAATACTAGCAATGAATCCATCGATTTTCAAAAATCGGTGGAATTATTCTCAGGTACGATGGATTCTAAAGTTAGTATTCAAAAGTATCGCCTTTTCCTAAATAATAAAAATTTATCAAATCAATAATTTGTTATATTTTAATACATATTGTTGCAAAAAGACGCTTCAATGCAAATGTCTCGTTTGCTATAATCGGATAGACGAAAAAAAAAACATTTTGTGACTGCGTTCTCACGGAAATGGGCGATGGAGGGGCCCATTTTATCCTCGATATTAAAAAAAATATTATATAATATTTTTTCATTATCGAGTTACATATAATTATCAATATAATTACTTATCATTCACATGTGTGTGTATGAATATATTTACTGAGCATTCACATGTGTGTATAAATATATTTACTGAGTGTTCTAAATAAAACGTTACAATTTTTTATTTCTAAAAGTATAATTTTTAGAAAATAATGCTGCAAATAAAAGTTCCAGTGTTTCAACGGAGATATACATATTTTAATGTTACAGAAATGTTTGTAGAAGGCAATTTTCAATATCATTAGTCATGATTATTTTATATTAATTAGTCTAACAATAAGTATTTATGTAAATTTATTCCTTGTAACATATTCTGCATACAGGGTAAAAGTCAATAATTGAACGGTTTACGAGATATTTTACATAATCTAACATATTTTAATATAAAAAATAAAAATATTTCGTAAATAAAATATTTAGTGTTCGATAATATACTTTTATGTATAGAATAATTATAGACTATTCTATATATATAACTATTCTAATTATAATTATAACTATTCTAATTATACTAGAATAATTATAGACATAATCTAACATATTTTAATATAAAAAATAAAAAATATTTCGTAAATAAAATATTTAGTGTTCGATAATATACTTTTATGTATAGAATAATTATAGACAAATAAAAAAAGATACACAGTAAAAAAAATATACAATTTGCTACATGCAGTTATATATATTTTTTCGTAAAAACAACATGTTTGTTGTTTATACCAATTGTTTCGTCTAATTATTCTATACATAAAAGCAAGATCATTGAAAACTAAATATTTTACGAGATATTTTGTATTTTATATCAAAAATATGTCAGATTATGTGAAATATCTCGGAAACTGTTCAATTCTTGGCTACATTTCCTTATATTTTTATGCAGAATATTACAAAAAATCTATTTACATAAACGCTTAGAATAATTCTATAAA